AAGAGGATCATGGCTGATAAAAGGAAATCAAGTAAAGGCGATTTCAATGAGAGGAGTCAAACCTGGCATCAGCTTGAAGTTACTGTGTGCGTCCATATGTGGAAGTGCCAGAAACATGCAAATCGTATACCATTATAGGTTCTAGGATAAAGCTCTAGGTCCTTTTCAAATTGATCAAGATGTGGAAACCGAGCTGAGGAACACGATATGAGTTAGTCCCTAATTTGTGTGTGTGTGTGTGCTTTACGTGATTCAAGAGTAAACAAGGGAGGAGGTCCATCTTTACATCAGTGGTTCTGAATCAAGCCAGATACAGAGGTCCATTTAAAAGTCATCAGGGTGTGGAAACCGAGCTGGGAGGACACTATATGTTGGTCCCCAAAGTGTATATGCTTTTGTAGTGAGGACTCACTGATTAAATGCCTGACTGGGTACGTTACCGACCGACAAACACATACACAATTGACTAGAACCTGGGACTATTTGGGACTGTCCACTTTCTACTCAAGAGTAGTATGCTTTGTGTGATTTATAAGTGGGGAAGGAAAGCAATCCATTTTCACACCAGCGTTTCTAAATCAGGTCAAACACATTCACCCACAGAATCTGATAAAATAAGTGGGGATGATAAATAAAATAACTGAGTCATTCTCCTGAAACATAGGGATTAGTAGATGCCTGGGTATGCGATTCATTGGTGTTAAACCCTCATATATTCCTAAATGGGGCCTAGGATCGAAGGTTCATAGCAGCCAAATTTAAAACAGCCAGACAGTGATTTTAATGTCACAGGTAACAACTGACAAGCGGGGTGCAAAGGGGGGCTAAGTGAAAGTCAGAAGCCATGAACCAGTAGTACTGCGAACGCCGTTTGAAACCGGTAGTGAAAGCTTCACTAAGTCCACTCGAAGCGACACATCCCTAGGCGACATTGCAAGAAGTGTGATCACAGAATGGTGTGCATAAGTAAATGCACCATTTGAATTGGGGTGTGGAAGAAATGGATGCAGCACTAGAAGGTAGGATACAAAATAGGTATGAGAGATGTTGCAATAGTTGAACAGAAAATTTACTTGCCACTTTGTTGCTTCTATGTGCTAACGATGGCGCCTCTCACTGACGATGTCGGCGAAATATCTGTGAACGTTTCAAATCAATGGTCTGATGCTGGAAATCTTTGTGAATACTATGGCAGATGACACAGGACTAGGTATGTTTTATAAGGTCTCCCTGTCGCTCGAACCAAGTTGCAAAAACAAGGTCAAGCCCACAGTAAATCATCTTATCTCTCTTAAAACTGACTTGATCTAAGCGTATATATCCTGTAGAAGCAAGGACCTTGATTTCCTCTATTTATTCCTATCTTTGAGTCCTTTTAAGAATTCGCTTCCAGCTCTGAGGATGTCTCTCAAGCGGGATGACAGAATAGAGCTCCACTTTTTTTACTTCTAGTCACTCTGTAGTTTTTTATGATGAAGGGCTTCGAGTTTGTTTTTCTTGCAATGAACTGAATATACCTCATGATGCCTTTGAGTTTCACTTGGCCCTGGCTCCCAAAAGGCATTCTTATCCTGGCGCTTCTTCAGTTTAGACCCCCCTTATCTCATCAGTGCCATTGACAGAAATCGAATCCGGGTAGTGCAGCGTTTATTCTTCATATATTATCACTAATCCACTTTGCCATAGGTGTCATTGGCTCAGGGCAGATGCTCCTTCCAAGGAAAACTAAGCCCCTCCAACACCACATTTTATAATTTAGTTGTTGATGAGGAAACTTGTATTCTGCCATTATAATGGATTAAGTCATTTGTCTTCATGACAGGTAAGTTTCAAAGCTATCACTAGAATGAGAATATAAGTAGACTGTAGCGACAAAATACAAGTTTTTTTCATCTCACTATAAACAATGTGATAGGACAATGTTCTGTTCTTTTTTGAGCTTCCTGTCCGCCCTGTGACCGAGTCCAGCCTGGATGAAAACTTTGTTGAGTTAGGGCTAAGTGAAATTCATTAGCATCTTGAGGTCTACATATATTATTGTGGGGAAATTCTACTATCGCTTCTTTATCTCATGCCCAAAACTCACTATTTTGATGTACTTATAGTTTCTAAGCCCTATTTTTATGTATGAAAGCTCTTTTAGCGAGTTCAATAGGTTCATCATCACATTCACAAAGAATGTAAGTCATCTCATAAATAGAGGCAATCATGAAGAGTGATTTACTTCAGTTTATTATGATACTACTTGGTTTCCTTTTTGGGGGAAATAATATCGGGCAAAACTCCCATTTACCTTTATGCATCTAGTGTGTGCTTAACCCCGTCATTAAACGAATATACTTTTTCGTTTGCCGACACACGAGGAAATATTTCCCCACGTTCGGGCCTAAGTAGGAGCTTATGCTTATACAATTTGATCTGGTAATTTTTCTTTATTGACTGCTTTTAGAAAGGCTTTCTCGCTTAAGATGTTTAGCTTATTACATATGCTTATTCGTTTGATGGCTAATCCGGAGTCAAAGGGTGGCTTACCTTCGAGTAGCGATCCCATCAAGAGTTCATCTCAAAGGTAGTCACGGTCGTTCCGGCCCAAGAGTCTTTCTGTCCAACTTTACAAGAGGACAGCCCATCTCAAAGCTGTTTACAAAGCCCAATTTTAAGCAATACTTAAATGTGAAAATCTGTTTGGAATAGCTATGATGCATGTGTCTATAAGTCTCCGATTTTCTCCTGGCGGTCTTTAGATTCCCCTCCTACCTCAATTTTGCTGTATTTATTTTTCATCTCCTAAATGCTGTCAACAATTGTAAGGCATACATTTTTTTATTCCAGTTCTAATCAACACTCTCTATACCTTTTTTGCCATTCCTTAGCGCTATGAGCTCGCAGACTCCTGAGCTTATAATAATAGAAGACGATGAAGACGAGGAAGCCATTGATCCGACACTTCCTCCAGCTGATGTGTGCCTTGACAGATGTCGCGAGTTCGCCCGCATCACTGCAACCGATCAGGCTCTCGCTATGCTTTACCTACAAAATCATAATTGGAATCTTGAGGTGAATTTTTTTCTCCAGTCTGAAATAATTGTTCATTGTATCACGGCAAACTAACGACGCCTTAAGCTTATATAAAAATTGGGTCGATTTGAAATTTAGCTCACTGCATGAGCAGCATGTCTCGTTTCCAACTTTAGTTGGCCGAATGTCTTCAGTGATTTGGAAGATCCTATCATATTCAAGAATAGATGACATCTTACTTTTACTTCAGCCGCTATGCTGTAATTTTTGAAATATGGCCCACAGCAGTACCACGGTTCCAATAATATATGAATGTGAATATATGGTTAATTTGAGAATGTTGATAGTTATGAATCTGATTTTGATTACTATCATATCAGTTTATGATATGATATGACATAACATAACATTATTTATTATTCGATTTAATTTTGCTTCGTCCTTGTGGATTCAGCTTTGCAAGAAGGTCGCTCCTGATGTTGGCAATATGACTCTGGAATTCTCTAATTTTCGCGTAATGTATTTGCATAATGAAGCTATTAACTACTGCTGTCCTAGTCTCCTCATGTATAATCAGAGTGTTTCGATAGTGCAAATTTATCATTCAGGCTTGTTGCCTCCTTAATCCTTTAAGTTAGCCTAATT